GCAGGTGCTAGGTTTCTTTTGTTTCTGAGATTAACCTCTATAAGCTTTCTTTCTGTGTTTGCCCAGAATGTGTGTCCTGTTATAAGCTTTAGTAGTATAGAGAGGAGCCTTGCATCTAGCATAAACTTATACTATTTTAGAACTAATACTTTTATAATTATTTGCCTAATTAATAAAATTTTGAAATCAATATTTTATAATTACTGCTCATTTCAGTTTACTATTATATAATCAAATGTTTAAATATAATTACTATCAGTTTATAGAATTTTTGAACTAAAATTTTATAATTATGTACCCTTCTTTAAGAATTTTTATAATTACAAAATCACATAAGTATTATATATATGAAATTTTTTTTCATTGCGATATATATAATACATAGAGATGTTAAAAGCCTTGTCTGGTTCGACTTGATTTCAAAAATCAAGTCTTTATGAAGATAGTCCAGAATCAAGCTTGGACTCACATTTACTAGTGAGACTTATAAATAAAATGCAGTGTCTGTAAATCAATCTTTATATTACGTATACGCATAAATTTTAGTTGCAGCGAGTGACTAGTGTTCTGATAAGTTTTATGGCATTAAGGAATATCGATATAGTTAAAGGTAGTAGATTTTGGACTATCGGTGCGAATAAATCAAATAATAAATATGGAAATGTCTATGAATTTAAAAGTTTTAAGATCTAGATAAGAAATATAGATTTCAAAAAGTCAGAAAGTAGTTTGGCGACCTAAGCAATTGGTGAGTAAAGTTGCAAGATTCTGTTTCAACTAGTTTTGCTTGACTGATAAAAACAGTATTATTTCGAACTACATTCTATAGATATGTATATAAAGTTCTATTATTGCTCGATCAGAGGCTTTATTACTACTAAATGTTGAAGAAACATATGGGAATAGGTCTGCTATCACCAAACTGGCTCTAGCCTATATACTAACAGAAAATGGAGATGAATTACTAAACTATCGGACATATATGTATAATATGAACAGGAATACGACCATTCTTCCATATCATGTAAACTCCAAAAGAGGAAATACTTCATAGGAAGACTTTCGTATGATTGACAGTTTAAATCAATTAATTTTACATTATTTATACAGTTTAAAGTACTTTTTTAAAGAAATAAATCTGCGAAGAATAAACGAAAAAGAAGGTTTATTAGGGTTGTAGGACACAACATTAAAAATAATCAAAATGATTTCTGGTTTTAAAGAAGTTAGCATAATAGCGACTTCTTTAAGATAGATAGCATTAGATTATTACCATGCTAGCTTCTTTAAAACCAGAAATCATTTTGATTATTTTTAATAGTGGAGTCCTACAACCCTAATAAAACTTTAAATATACTTCTGTTTTGTTTATTCTTCGTAGTTTTATTTTTTTTCAAAAAGTACTTTAAACTGTATAAATAATGTAAAATTAAATTGATTTAAACAGCCAATCATACAAAAGTCTTCCTATGAGGTTGAGGGGGTAATCATAGAGATAATATGTGTAACAGACATACTTCGGAGAGTGTTGTATAACTCACAATTAATGTAACCAATTTTATCTGATGTGCAGTAATTTTTACTACATACGTACGTTCCGTAAAAGGTTGGTTGCTTATATTATCAGCCAATCAAAACGAATGTCCATCACACGTTGTAGTAATCATGAAAAAAGAATGATTCGGGTTAGCAATACTGCATTTTTTTCTAAATTCGACTAATTGTTAAAATTTTAATTTTCAATTATTATTAAATTAAGACAATTTTCAATTCAGCTCCCATAGCTCAGCTGGTTAGAGCGTGGTGCTAATAACGCCAAGGTCGTGAGTTCAATCCTCACTGGGAGCACTACCAATATACCCGTACATTTTCTTTTTTTATTTTTGTCAAATAAAAAAAATAACGATAATTTTGATTAGTATCATCGCAAATTGGTCAAAATAAAGCCATTTTTGTTTTATTTACTTATTTAATTTGTCGGACATGGTTCAATGCAAGATATGCACTAGAATTTAAAATACATTTGGACATAACAAACCTTTATGCATAGAGCTATCTTCTCACATTATATGGGGTCTTTGCTAGGAAAATGACCCACTGGGATTATGTAGATTTTACGAATAAAATTTAAATTTTTTACACAGTCATCTATTCAATAACCCAATCCATTTTATTTATATATTTTCTTTACTAAGTAATCGATAAAAACAACAACTCAAACTCTTTTACAAACATCATAAACTCATTGTCATCTTTATCTTTCCCTTTCGTAATAGTGTTAAAGCATTTTTGACTCAATTTCCCAAACAATAAGTCATTAAGTAATGGATGTAATTGTATTTTATCTTGAATTAACTTATCAATTATTATTTGGATGTCTTATATAAAAGTTATAAAAATTGGTATAAGCTTAAATATATTGTTAAATATAGCTAAAGTCATTATTCATTATTTACCTTTCAGAATGTTTTCTGTGTCTGATACAAGTTCAATCATCACCAAAACTGTTATTATTATTCTATACATAACAGTAAACACGTTGGGAAGTGAAGTAAAGCCAAGCGGTCCATTCTTATTGGTCTTAGTGGACAGCAAATAGATAAGCAATTATTGTATTTCAAAAAAACACTTAAATACAAATAAACAAAATAATCTAAATACCTGTACTTCACGCGTACTTATAAACTCGCATACTATACCTAATTGTTGGACACAAAACCTTGGAATATCCTTCCTAAACATATCAGGAAATTCTAATTTATTTCTTTCCTTTTTTATGACCGTTCGTAGATACTTATAAGCTAATTGAATATCAACCAAATCTTCTTTATATATATTTGGATTCTCTATAGCAAACAAAACTCTAGATGGTGCCATCTCTGACTTTAATATCTCATCTTTTCGAATAAAAAATAATTTTATAATAATATTGAAGTCAACATTTTGTTCTTTAAGAAAGTGGAATATTGTGTATTAAAAATTTATATACCTGGCTTAACATCACCTGCCAATATTTGTAATAACGCTACGCATAAATGAAGTGATCCAGAATATTGGTTGGTCATATACTCATAACAAAATTCTTGCGCCCTATCACAACCAACTGGGTCCTTTTAAAAAAGCAGGAGGTATTAATTTTTCTATCTATTTTAAAATTTAAACATCAATGATTTAATATAATGAGTTCGAACCTCCAAACCCATAGCTTCAGATACAATTAACGCAGCAGTTCGACGTAAATCAATATCATCATCCTTTTTTGTGAGGAAAAAAAAAAATAAATATATCAAGTGAAAATAATTCATCTATTGATTTAAAGTTACCTGAGTAAGCCGAATGAGAGCAACATATAAAATTATAAAATATTGTATATCGTCATTATTAGTGAACATTGTTTCTTTTTTAAATAGAAGTCTACTAAATAATTGTATGGATTTTGTAGCCGCCTCACGCAATGTCAAAGTCTATCGGGATAGAGATATTAAATGTAATTTCGGCATTATTTAAGGTATATAAAAATAATTTATGAAAATACTTTACAATTTCAGGTTTAGTATTTTTGTTTATATATTCGGCCCATTTTTTCAAACTCAAGGACCTGAATTCATGTGATAATGATGTTTCGTCCCATATCTAGTATGAATAGAATTTCAGTTAAGCAAAGTCTATTTAAAATCATTTCGAATATTAAAGTTACAATTTATCATTTTGCAAGAGGACATTTACTTCAGCCGTCAAAGCTCCTAAGAGCGGTATTGTAGCTTCAATTATGGATGAACTCTTGGATTCTTCCATATACCAGAACAATTTTTTCCAAAATTCTTCCAATTCGAACTTAGAAGATTGCTGTGATGATATTAAATTGGATTTTGGAAGTGGATAATCCGAGTTGATTAATACAAGTAATTCTATTACGAGTTGAAAACACTTGAGATATTGTTCTCCATGGTATAACATCTTGATTAATTTTGACTGAATTACTGGTATGATGCTATTATTAGAATGCAGTAACAAATATTAAATATGAAAGAATTATGTCAATTAGAGAACATTATGCGAGAACAAGTGTATTTGTAGGGATTGTAAATTTTCATTTTGTTAAAACTTTATCAACCGAAACGTACCTTGTACCAATATGTGTAATGTCCACTTCAAGAAAATATTCAAAAAGCGTTTCCAGAGCAATAAGTCTAATTTCATATTCTTCGTCACTCAAAATTTTTACTATAATCTCGTTCTTTTCAATTGTATCTTGACTCAACAGTGATTTAATAACCACTTTTGCCATTTGTTGTCGGGTTAGAAAGTTTCCAATTTTCAAAGTAGCGTTGGATTTGTTAAAAAGATTGAATAAAGACAGATCAAATATGGTTTGCCTCATTTTTGCAAACTTTTCTTCCATCAAAGTTAATAATTCTTTAAATTTATCAATAATATTAATATTCAACTTATTTATGTTTAAATTAAATATATTAATTTAAAGTCTGATTTGACATACCGGACCGCTTCCGCTTGTCCTGTTCGTTAAGTATCCATTTAGAATCAAATATAAATTCATTCATTATTTCCAAAAATAAGGATTTCGTAATTTCACAAGGATTTTGATAACAAATTACAGGAATCTTTGGCATTATCATTAATTCCATTTTATTTATAAATTCTTAAAAAAAAAAAAAGCAAGAAAATATTATTAATTCAACAATATAGCAAAATCTAAATATTATATAATAAAGCGAACCCTTTGTCAAATCAAATCCAGTAAGATTCCTACTAAGATGTCCACGCATTAAATATTGTATTTGAACTAATCGCCCGTGTAATTCATTTTGATTACTTATTTCACATGCATTAAATAATTCGGTACAAGTAAGGATTAAATCTTGTGACGCGATTAATGGAATAAGTGATCTTGCAGACATTTCTCGTGCCTATAAAATATAAATGCTTAAGTGAATCTTTAAATAAATCTGAAGCATACTCAATCTGAACCAAATTATAAAATAGTTAATATAAATAAAATTTAATTTTATACTTTATATATTGGCGAAGAACAGCAAGACTTCACAAGTGTCACAAAAGGATTCATATTCAATACTGAACTTTCCATTAACGATGGATGTAATCGAGATAACAATGTAAGAATTGGATAAAGTCCAGGATGCACTTCTATTTTATTATACTAGCAAGTACAAATGTAATATATATTTAATCATAATGTCAAAGAAAAACCAATCTACGAATCTTCATTCAATATCCTACTTGTGTTGGTTTTATAAGCTGATCAACTGCAATTGTAAGTTCATCCACTAAAAACGGATGTAATTTTGGAAACCTTGAAAAAAACTCGCGACTAGTTAATTGGTTAATAGAATGATGTTCATCTTTTGTTTTCTTTGTTCCAAAAGTCCTTTGCAAAAGCGTAGAAAATAGCATTACTGAGCAATTTCGAATGGCCCAGCTTTTATATTAATGAAACAATAAGTATTAAAATCAGTACTTTATGAATAGTCAAACTAAGTATTAAATACTGGAAAAAAATACCTGGATGAACAAAATCCATTAATGGCCAACATAAATCCATCAGAAACATAAGGTAAAACGTCTGCACCTAATTTCGCATCCATAAATATCGTTCTTAAAATATTAAAAGCATGAACTTGAGGTAAATCAACAGTTTGTTGATCAATGTCGCCATCGGTTGAAACTTTTTGGGAACCGATGTTAAGTAAAACTTTCATGGCCCATGGAAGTAGTGTTTTTGGTTCACTACTAACTATTGCCAAGATACATAATGGAAGGCCAGCACTTCGACGTGTTATTGAAATTGAATTTGTTGTTATTGCACAAATGTCTTCCTTATACCCCCAAGAGAATTGTATTAATGGTGTTAGAACGGTAATAAACGGATATAATAATGTTTTATATCAATCTTACCTTAAGCCACGTTTTAGGCAACTCAGTAAACTCGATTTGCGGTGAATCTAGCAATCGAGAACAGACTGATACATATCCAGGGTACACCGCAGAAAATGCTCCTCTATGACGTATAGATGTCAACAGCGTTCGAAATAATGCACCTCCATTTCGAACTTGCTCATAATTAAGCATTGCTTCCTACAAATTAGCAATAAGAGTATAATTTTATAAACGAGAGTATTTAAATTAAAATTACCGTATTTTCGCGTAATAACACCCGTGAGCGTTATTTCAAAAATCGTATCGCCCGAAAATAAAATGAATAGCTTTGAAATGATGCCCATGCGTCCGAAATAAGGTGTACGTTTAGGTCAATGTAAAATTTTCAATTACATAAAAATCTTCATATGTCAGACGCGTACTCGAAATAATGCATATGGGAGCTCGTCAATAGAAAAGGCATAAAATAACTCAATAACTACTAAATCAGATTTAATAATTTTTTATTTTAAGTTTATAACTATAGAATTGAAATAAAAAAAAAAATTATTAAATTTAGTTTAGAAGTCGTTGAGATGTTTTAAAAAATTTTTACTTGGAAGAAATCTCTTCCTTTTCTATTGACAAGCTCCCATATCAGATATATACTCGAAACAACGTGCAGTGGGCGTTATTGCCGTATTTTTGCAAAATACGCCCACCTGGATGTTTTGAATATGTATATGCGCGTTTGCGCGTCATTTCGGGACGCGCATGGACGTTATTTTGAAATTATACATGCAATTTTTATGGGACACGATTTTCTAAATAACGCCAATGCCCGTTATTTCGCGAAAATACGGTACGCAAAAATATATATATATAGATTTACATTATCTATTAAAGTTATAGCCATTGGCGCTCTCGACAATATTACAGCTAAGAGAGTGCTATATAATTAATGATTAGAATAGGATCTTAATTAATAATAATAATATATAAATTTTATTTAAATCACTTGCCATTACCTTGCTTCTTTCACAGCTCTCCAGCAACAACTTAATATGACTTGATGTTTAGGACCTTCGTCACTTTCCACATCTCCATTGTCACTTGAATAAACCAATTCATCAATAGCCTCCTCCATCTCTTGAAACGATGCTGGTACATTTCCTTCAGGTGATGGATTTGACAACACTTCAAGTACTATTTGACATGCTTGATTAATCAGTGAGATAATTTTGTCATGAACAAAGCGCCATTCCATCAAATTCGACTTTATGATTGTGGAATTGTAATCCAATTTTTTAAATATATATTGAAGTGAGAGTAAAGTTCCATGCATTGGATATTTTTGAGACGCAAGTAGTAAGTTTTGAGATGCAATTTTAATTTGCTTTTCTAAAAGCACCATTAATTTCCCAATAAATGTAGCTAAAGTATTATTGTTTAATAAATATATTAAATCAGATATAATTCGTATAAATAACACGAAAAGACAGAATTATTTACATTATTTACTTGATTTATCATTAACTTCCAAGCCCAAAGAGGAGATAGGGGGACCTTTATCCAATTCTACATCCAAATCATATCCAAGATTCAACACGTATTTTGAAAATATTAGACCAAATATTGTAGCGCCACTATCGCTTTCACCAGCTCTCGTATTCGTCATTGACTGAAATGCCCAAAATAAAATTTCCTGTACATCATCAATTGATTCAATTCCTGGTAACGGAGAGGGAAACATTTCGAGTATTTCATATGATAGCATTCGGTTTTCATCAAACGGATTCATTAGACAATTTAAAATTAATTTTACATTTCTGGCTGTGGCAAGCGGAAGCTGAAAAGGAAAAGTTGTTGATTCATTTTTTTTATTTACAAATTCTTTTGTAAGTGAAGATTCATTACCAAGACCAAATGTTTTGATTAATATGATAAAAATTTTAAGAGCAGATGATACTCTTTGAAACGATGCGCCAGGATACAATGAAGCAGCCAATAATTCAATTAACCAATTCAAAAAATTTTGCGAAATATCAATCTTTCGTTTTAATTGTTCTGCTTCCAATAGTGCTTGTGAGACTTTTGTATTCTCGATGGTCGAGCCGTTATTTTCTATATATTTCAAAAGAGATTTATAATCTCTCCATTGAGCATACAAATTTCCTTGAAGTCTAGAAAATAATTTATTTAAATGCCCACACATCTTCTGTCTAAATTCAGGAGAAGTTGAATTTAGATTTAATTCGAAAAATGATTTTAAAAGTGAAAGTTCAGTTGATG